GCCCGCTTGGGGAGCGTTTGGCACAGAGATAAAAGAGAGAGAGAGAGAGAGAGAGAGAGAGAGAGAGAGAGAGAGAGAGATTGCAGAGAGAGAAAACAAGGAAAAACAAGAGTGCAAGCTTTCTGTGGTGATAACAATGGCAATTGGTGACAGAAACATGCAGTTTCTCCATAAAGGAGAGGCCCTGCTGAACGGTGCTGGATCCTCCCCTCTGGAATAGACAACCAGTGAAAGCTCCCACCAGCCCCCATAGGGATCACCAGTGGACAAACCACAATCATAAGAGCTGCTAAACTTTGTTAAGACTCTTGTGGAGTGGAAAACAGCCACCCCACTCCCTCAGCTTTGTAAAAACAGGTGGAAGAATGGTTAAGAACAGCGATAGGCCTGCCAGGGAAGAGACGAAGGCTGTAGGAATCTCTCTTCCTCCCTCTCTGTCCATCCTTCTGAGGCTCCCTTTGGGCCTAGCACAGCTCTTCTGGCCCAGCTTTTTATAAAGAATAAATTAATACAAATAACTGCAACAAGACTATGTACATGGGTATTCCCCTGCCTTCCCCCAGCCCCTCAATATCCCACCCTCACCCCGGAATAAGGAGCAGGGGGAGGGGGCAGTGAGAAAGGAAGGGGGGGCCTCAAAAAGGCTCAATGCCTGAATACCAGCCAAATGCCCATACGTGCTCCAGCTCCACCACACTCACATTCACACTTGCACACTTTGACAGTGACGCAGCCCAGCCCTGGTACTAACCCCCACCCTCCTCCCCTCCCTGCTTGAGTTGCCCATTTAAACAGAAAGCCAGGCACTGGTACGGGCCAAGGGCCAAGGGGACCCCATTTCCCTGAGCTGACTCTTTCCAGCCAGACAAGAGCGAACTGAGTCAAATCCTGCCACTGTCAGCACGCAGTGGGCACTGGTGCCTCTGAGAGAGTCCTCGGAAACAGTTCATGCAAAGACAAACTCCAGGACACGGAGTGGGTCCATCATGTGGCAAGACAACACAGAAACACCCTGCGGTTCCTCCATTTATGGGCCACTCCACAGTGGTGGGTGGGAACATTGACAGGTTCGTTTTTGTCCATGGCGGTGGCTGCAGGCGATCAGGAAATGCTTCTCTAGCCTCACAGGACAATACTGATCCTTTCTCCGAAAACTCCTGCATTGTTCACTTCCCGGCCTGCATAGGTTGCAACCAGGTCTCTCTTCAGCCCTTTGCCCCAAGCACCTGCTCACGCTCTTCCCTCGCCCCATCTTCCCATGGTGGCTTAGTCAGAGTCAATGTAGTGCTGGGGAGTATTCTGCAAATATTTGCAGCTTGAGAGGTGCTGGACTACATCTGCACATCTTGACCAGGCCCACGAATGTCAGTGAAGAGTATCTGCAAGTCTTGATGGTGACATAGACACTAAGGTATATCCACGCAGACTGACCCATGGGACCACGGTGGACAGCATCCTCGTGCTCAGTGCCAAGCTATACCCTCATGGCAGGGCCGGAGCCTGTTGTCAGGGGCACCGTGGAGCCACAGTCATAGTCTATGTCGATGGCTGCATGAGTGTTGGCCAAGAGGCTGTTGAGGGAAGAGCCCGTCTGCCGCTCCCGAAAGCTCTGTATGTAGCTCTGCAAAAGGGGAAACAGAAAATAAGACTGCTGCCTTTTGCTCCCTCTGCCCCCTCTTTCTTTCTTTCTTTCTTTCTTTCTTTCTTTCTTTCTTTCTTTCTTTCTTTCTTTCTTTCTTTCTTTCTTTCTTTCTTTCTTTCTTTATTCATTTTTCATTTGGTAAGAGAAGATTATAGGGAAGGGGATTTGGATCAGGGTATTAGGGTAAATTAAAAAAAATACAGAATGTGATAAAGAAGAGTATATATCATTATATTTGTCGATATGTTTCCTACTGAGCTTACTTCACACTTACTTTACCATTTTTTCTAAGTCTTTCAAATCTAAAATTATATCTTAGATTTTCTTTCTCATAATTTTAACCCATTCATGTTCTCATCTCTCATCCAATTATACAAAGGTTCCCACTTTTTTTCTAGCCTCAGCAATTTTTTGTCTTTTAAATACTTCAGTTAAAATATCCATCTTTGCTGCTTCAAAAATTTTTCTATTAACACCTGGGTTGTCGATGTCTCCTCTTTTTTCCAGTATTTGGCATCTAAAATACTTGCTGCTGTAGTTACATGTATGATCAAATACCTTTTTTCTTTTTCTATCAAGTCTGGTATTATATTCAACAAAAACAATTCAGGTTCATATGGAATTATAGAGGATAACATTTTTTGTAAAAAATCATAGATTAGTTTCCAAAAGCTCTTAGCTTCCCTACAAGTCCACCACATATGATAAAAACTACCTTCTTCTGATTTGCATTTCCAACATTTGTTAGAGGTACTTTGATATATTTTCGATAATTTTTCAGGTGTCATATACCATCTATAGAAGATCTTATACATATTTTCTTTGTAATTAATTGCTTTTGTTAGCTTAGTACTACCTTCCCATATTTGTGACCATGACTTTTAAGTTAATATTGTGGCCCACATTTTGGGCCCGTTTTATCATACATTCCTTAACTATTTCATCTTGTGTTTTTAATTCAAGTAGATAATTATACAACATTTTAATCAGTTTTTCCCTTACATTCAGAAGTATCTTATCTAGTGGTGTCTGTTCCTTACAGAAGCCTACTGCTTTATATTTCGTGTATCTTGAATCTATTTGTGCTTTTGTCCACCAATCAAGTATTGTACCTTGTTCTTCTAGTTCTTCCCTTGATTTCATATTTAAGTCCTCTTTTAACAAATTTCTATATTTCATGAGTTTCTTCTTTTCCATTAATGTTGGTTGTTTAAATGCTTCCAATGGTGAGACCCATTCAGGAACTTTTTGGTAATTTTCTTCCTGGATCTTGGTCCATACCCAGTTTAAGCTTTCTTTATCAGATGGTTCTTAAATTGTTTAATGTCTTTTGCTTTTTGATACCATAGGAAGGCGTGCCATCCTAGATTTAAATCATGTCCTTCTAGTTTTAATATTCTGTCATTTTCTAAAACTATCCACTTTTTTTATCCAAACTAGAGCGCAGGCTTTATAATATAAAAACCAATCTGGAAGTCCAAAGCCTGCTCTTTGTTTTGCGTCTTGAAGTGCTTTCATGTTTATTCTAGGTTTTTTCCCTTGCCAGACAAACTTCATTATTATTTTTGTAAATTCTTGAAGTATTAATTGTTTTGTAAGAACTGGTATTGTCTGAAAAAGAAATATCATTTTAGGTAATATATTCCTCTTCACAGCTGCAATCCTCCCCATAAATGATAATTGCATTTTTAACCATTTTTCCAGATGGTTGTTGTGGGTTTTTTGGACTCTTTGGCTGTGTTCTGAAGGTTGTTCTTCCTAACGTTTCACCAGTCTATGTGGCCGGCATCTTCAAAGGACAGCACTCTGTACTCAGAGACTGGCGAAACGTTAGGAAGAACAACCTTCAGAACACAGCCAAAGAGCCCGAAAAACCCACAACAACCATTAGATCCCGGCCGTGAAAGCCTTTGCGAATACATTTTTCCAGATCTTTTTCAATCATACCAATTAGTTTGATGTAGTTGTCTTTAACAAAGTACTTTGTGTTTTGGGTTTTTTTTGGGGGGGGGGAATCTGAATTCCTACCTCTGTCCCCTATTTCTGAGTGGAACTTCACAGTAGGGAAAGACTGCCCCTGCCTTTTTTCACAGTCCTCTTGGCCAGTCCGGATTCTTGCTTTTTACCTCCCTGAGAAAAGGAATATCGTCTGACCCTTCCTAATGTTTATGATTTCACTCCTCACTGGTATAGTAGCCAAGAATTAGTTGTTCCACAAGATGCCACCCTGAGCTTTCCTTGTGTACCCATAACTGGAAAAGGGACACATAGTTTCAAGCACTTCTGACAAGGATTGCTGGCAGGGAAGTGGTCTAATTGGTCTGTGCTGCAACCAGGACACAGCAGGAGAATACAGGACTGAAAAATACACCAGCATTTTTCACAGGTCATTCAGAAAAAGTGATCAGCACATGCACATTCCTGAGCATGCATTGACATGTGCCAGGAAGGCATGGCCAATTTAGGTTTCTGTTCCTAAAACTTTATGACTCTGTGGCTACTGTTCACACTTGTTATGCTGAGAATGACAGGGAGTTGCCAGAGCCTTCACTGACCTTGCAGTTTTGAACCAGACACGTACTTTAGTTAACTACACATCTGGGCAATACAGAAATAGACAGTGCTAGGTATCATAACAAAACACACAATAGGTGAAATGCTGGCTTAAATTTATGCTAGTGTAACATGAATCAGATACTGAAAATGTTGAATTTAAAATAATGAAAAGTGCCCTATACCCCTTTTCAGGTAACTGAGGCTTCCTACAGTTCCCTTTTGCCCAAGAGTCGCCTTTGGGAACCTTGGAGTGGAGTGGGGAGGTTTTAAGAGTCAGTAATTGCTGCTGGATCACTGCTGGCAGTCCCAATCCTAGCAGCCACAAGCTGGCAACAATTTTTTTTTTACTACCAAAGGTTCTCACCCACCCATATCCCAAGGCTCCCAAAGACATCCCCAGGGCATTTGTTTAAATTAAATATTTCTGATGCCTGATCTGGGCTATACCTACATAAATGTATGCAACAGAATTTTATCCATAACCTTCTCTCAGGTTATTTGTGAATAGAAAAAGGAAATTGATTTGCCTGGACATATTAGGTGTAAACAATTGTTGCCTGACATGGTCAAGCCAAGTTCAGCATTTTCTGAGAACTCTACCTGTTGTATAATGACCGCTGCATTTCTACACCAATTAGCACGGCTCTGGCAGGGCCCTAGGACAACACTACTGACAGTAGACAGAGATTTCTCTGAGGCTGAAAGAAACTGGAACTGGAGGAATAGCTAGAGATTCACACTACAATTCCTGTTTCCCACCTGTAACTAACAATATCCGGGCAAAAACACAAGTTGAATAAAGTTTGTCTGCTTATGTTCCTTCCATACATAGAATGTCTTATGCTGGATGCCCTGCACATGGAGGATCATTTGGTGGCTAGTTTACAATGTTAGGTTGCTATTGGTCTCTGTCCCTACCATTCTGATTAGCATGGAAATTTTGCTAAAGACAATCTGGGGTATGGGAAGCAATGGGCATCCAGTCAAGAAACACTTTGATTCAGACAGATGGGCTATTGAATGAAGGTATCGTTAGATGTAAGGCTGGCTTCCAAGATGGAAAGGCCTTACGGCCAAGAAGGAAAGAATCAGAGAGAAATTGATTCTCTCTGTCTGGCCCATTAACTGCTGATAGACAGCTGAACTATTCCGAACAGAGCTATTGTTCCCACATCCTCAGTACATATGGCCCCACTAGCCTGCCCCTGCATCAAAGATCCCTGGCATTCACTCACTGGGGAGAGCACATCCCCATCAAATCGGCGCACAGGGTTAGGCTTGCGACGGTAGGCAGGCTCTGGTGGATGGGCCTTGTGTTGCACGTGAGGGTGAGGATGTGGCCGCCTCTTTTTCTTCTTCTCCTTACGCTCTTCCCGTTGCTTGATTCGCATTAGCTGAACACGGCGCTGCTGCCGACTGATAATCACTGTGGAGGGAAAGGGAAGAGGTTGAGCGAGCTGTGGAATCTGGTGTGACAAAGGGTGGCCCAGAGAGGACGGCAGATGCCATAGCTGGAATATTTTGCTGGGCAGATAAAAAACAGAACTGAAATGGACAGTAGTTAACAGTAACTGTGAAAGTTACTTCTTTGGACCACAACTCTCAGAATCTTCCAGCCAGGATGGCTATTGACTTCTGCCATCCTCTTCATCCATAAAATTAGGTTAAGTTCACAGCTGACAATAGCTATAATGAAGTATTTGATGGAAAGATTGAAGAATGCACCCTCATGATGAAAGGACATGACTCGCAGCCATTTTTAGTGCAGGGTATAATTCAGAGAATTGAGGGGCCAAGGATGTCCCAATGGCATCCTTCTTCTTCCATCTTAACCTATGCATAATCAGCAATATTCATTACTTTAGAATTTTTTTAAAGAGAGGTTTAATGTCCTTTAGCGTCTGTCCTACAATTCTGTGATTCTAACTAGAGAAAGAGGCTCATCATGGGTAGATATGCCATTTTCAATACACACACATATATATTAAAGCTTCAGACAATATTTTCTCAGTAACCACTATATAATAGTAATCACTATATAATATTTGCTAACCTGTTTAGTGTAGTTACTAAGAAAATATTGTCTGAAGCTTTAAAAAGCAAACATCTGTAACAAACATTCATTTGAAACCCTCAAGAAGAAACAGTATTGATACAGCGATCTTTAGAAGATAAAGAATTAAGCATAACCCCACCCAGCTTTCCACCAACTGTACCCTCTTGAAGTGAATTTTAAAAACAAAGGCAAATATTCTTCTGCATTGTATGATGTAAGCGTTTTCCCCTTCCCATTCCAGCAGGCTCCCCTTCACATGACTAGTATTGCACTGCTTGGACGATGGGTTGTGCATTCAGTTGTGTGATGCATGATGCAATGAGCAGTTTCTTATTTACATGAATGCCCTTATCCTCTGATACTGGCCAAAGAAAATGAAAAGATGGTTGCATTATTTATTTATTTTATTTATTTATTTTATTTATATCCCGCCTATCTAATCAATTAAGACTACTCTAGGCGGCTAATGTGTAGTTCAATCAAAGCTTGGAAATGTTAGGGGTTGTTGTTGTTTTGAAATTTAACTCCCAGAATCCTCAGCTAGAACAGGGTCAGGGTAAAAAAAAGTTTTTCTGAAATCTCAGTTTAGTCCTTAAAGCAGGGATGGGCAGAATGCTGAAAACATTTTTGGCAGTCTATGTGGCCCCAGAGGATCCTGGGAGCAGAAAGTCTTAAGAATAAGTTATTAACCTGAACTGACCCTCCTAAATTTGCATAAGAGTTCAATGCATTAATTACTGCAGCATAATCACTGACAAAATTTTGATTCTTAATCTGAAGAAAATAGAATGTATAGATGCTACACCATTAGCTAGTTTATCCTACATGAGACTGTTATGCCTTTCCTTCAGCACTAACAATTACAGGCATTTGATAGCTTTCAGTTGAAATTATTACCAATTTCTTTTGACTCTGTTTTCCTCCCATTGCTGAAGGTCTTGTTTATTTTTGAATTTATTTATGTTGGTACAGTGGTGCCCATGATGTGTCCTCAGGAAAGAAAACTAGCTTCCCACCCTAGTAATTGTTGATCTGGCATAAAGCTCTGCAGTCTTAGCAGTCTGAAACTGTGTCCATGTTTGTGGGAGGCAAATAGAAAAGTGAACCTGTTGCATGATTAACCCACTCCTGCTGGATGGAACTTTGGGCCAAGTGTAGTCATTTTGTGAATCCACTCCTGGAGAAAGTTCTGCCTATAATGTGTGATACATTTGTGTGATGCCAGACTGACGTGTGTACCCACTGCACACCCTATGACTCAATGACAACCAACCAAATGGGTACAGCCCTATGCAGGAGTTCACCTGCTCAGATGTAGGGTTGAACTGAGGTGTGAGTGCACATGTAAGTCACACCTGCAAATGTGACCCATCTAACCAGATGGTCCCAATTGTGGGACCTCTTTAACTGCCTTCAGCTGAATGTGATGACAGAGCCCTCTTCAGACCTTGGCATTCAATGAGTCAAGGTCTGACAATATTTGGGGTGGGAGGTCATTTGTGTGCTCATGTCTCCAACCCCAGTTTTAAGTTTACATGGGAGCAGGCAAAGGCCTGAACAGGGCTTCAGTATGCTGCTCTTTAATACCAGGTTATGCTGAAAGGAGAGAACTACTGCTTAGCTTAGAAGACTTCAGCCTCTGTGCTGTTCACATTTCCATCAGTGAGATGGTAGGAGAAGGGGAGGGGGAGGAAATTTATTTTAACTCCTGAGAGGTCACAGAAATGAATGCAGGAACAGTACAAGTCAGAAATGAGAATCACCAAATGCTTATTGCCAGCCCCTTCTTACTTACCTAGCAGCACCACACTTACCTTCGGTGTGTGAATATCCCTCAGCCGTGACCTTCCATTGCACCAGGACACCCAACAATGCTAGAATGGGCCAAGTACCCAGGATGACCCAGCTGTACCAGCAGATGGGCCGGGCAGGTGCCACCTTGACACGCTCATAAACATACTGCAGTAGCAGAAAGAGCTCAACAAAGTAGTCAGCTGTGGCAGTCATCACAGCACTGCCAAAGACAGCAGTGGAAAGAGTGGTGAAGAGGCGCTGCCACTGCAGGGTTAGAACAGCACAGAGCATGCCGACACCCAGCAGCAAGCCAATGGGGATCCAGACCGTCGGAGGGTGGTAGAACTGCTCCATCACCACCAGTGTGGCCACTGCCAGCAGCAGCCCCAACAGCAGCCCAACCATGAAGAGCCCGACACTGCGCACCAGCATGGTGACCAGGCCACAAAGCACCCCAATGCCCAGGCCGATGCCCACGGAGGCCTCAACACTGAGCTGAGTGTCCAGCACCCGCTCCTTGTAGCACAGCATGAAGATGATCACGGAGCCAAACATCAGCCCCGTCAGGAACATGACTGCCTTGAAGCATCGGTACCCTGAGGAAAAAAGGAAATGAATGTTAACACTGGGGTGAGTGGAGGGGTGTGTTAAGCATACAAAATAGGGTTCAGCATGCTTTTGTCACTTGCAGCCAACAGATTCTGCTCTTGTATCACAACAAGCTATCTACTCCAGGCCTGAGGTAGAACAGCATATCCCCACCAGCTACCCCACAGTTAAGGCACCTTAAGCTGGCCAAATTATTTTGGCACGGATGGGGGGGCGAGAATTCACAAGTGCTTGTCTTTGGCAGAAAAAGTACAATAATAGCAAATTCAGGAACAAACAATTTCCTCATTTTTTCATGGCACCAAGAATCTGTTGCCTGAAGTGGCTGCATCTCCCTGCCAAATAATAATAATAATA